GAGATGCTGGAGAAGACTTAGAAAAGTAACATTCCTATTTGAGCTTGTCTGCTGCCAATGACTGCTTCACCTATCCAGACTCCTTTGAGAAAGGTGATTTAAAATCATACTTTTGTGGGACACCTATCAGCTAAAACTATGTAATAACCTAGTTCTAATTTTGAAATACTTAGGAAAAATTATCATAAAAATTAAGGTGATGGATAGACACAATCTTCTCAATATTAAGTTTTCTTCTATTTTCATAAATTTGGTGCCTCGGTGATAGGAATAAAGAGGGATTTCTGTTTATACTTTTTCTTGAACATAGTTTTGTGGATGTGATTTTATACCATTTACTTACAGTAGCAACTTTCTGTTAGAAAAAAATACTTCTACTTTGTTTGTTGGAATTAGATCCAGTATTTCATGATTTTCTGAAAAATGGGTAGTATTCTGAAAACAGCATTGTTTGCATTGTCCAGCCACTAGAACAATATTGAGAACTGCTCTATTGCCATTAAAACTAAATAATCGAAACAGAGCACCATTTCCTCAAAGACAACTAATCTGCAAAGTCATCTGTGGCTCAGTTGGTTGAGCGTTGTCCGGGGCACTGAGGGGTTGCTGGTTTGATTCCCGGTCAGGGCATATGCCCGGGTTGTGGGCTCCATCCTGAGTAGGGGGTGTCACCACAGGAGACTCTCACATTGATGTTTTTCTCTAAAAATCAATTAAAAATCTTAAAAAATTATGCAAAAGAATCAGTTATCAATCAGTTACACTGAACTGGCTACATAAAAGTTATTAAACTATAATTTAAGGGAAGTAGGGCCAGTGGTTCCTGTGGTTAAACATCTTTCTTAAATTAACAAGTTCATCTCTTAAGTCTCATTTTGCTATATGGAGATTCATTCATTTATTCAAGAAACATTACGGAGTGCCTACGAATGTAAGAGACACTGTGGGTATGCAGCTATGAGCAGGTGCTTTACAGAAGGAAAACGTGGCCAAATTGTACATATATATCTCTGCTCAACCTCCTCAGTAATCACAGAAATGCAAATTAAGACCACATTGAGATACTATTTTATATTCCTTAGATTAAAAACCTAACAAAGCCAAGGGTGAAAATATGGGTCAGCATGAACTATCAGTGTATGTTATCATGATGTGCAAATTTATAGCTTACTTTCAAAACCAACGTGGCAGTTTCTTATAAAGTCATGCATTGACATACCCTGTGATTTAAAATTCCACTCCTAGATATATATCCTGGAGAAACATGCACATGTATTGGAATGCTTGAAGCAGCACTTTTGGTAATAACAGACAAAACTGGGAATATCCCCCAAATCCAATGCTAGGAAATAAATACATTTTGGTATATTCTATTTATTCAATGAAGTAATATACAGCAGTGAAGATCAATGAACTACAACTGCATACTTGGATGAATCTTAGGAACATAAGTTGAGTGAAAAGCAATTCCCAGAAGACTCCTACTCCATGATACCATCTTTATAAGCTCAAAAACAAATGAAACAAAACACTGATGCTTAGGCCTATGTAAAACTATATTTTCTAAAAAAGTGAGAGGATGATAAATGCAAAACTCCTGTGCTGGATAGCAGGTTCATGAGATTTATTAAATTCTGATACATAATTTGCATATATGGTCTATATGTTCTTTTGTAATTTATAAATATTTTTAAATTATTTGGATAATTTAAAAAACAATAAAACAATGCTCTGTCTTGGATAGCATATTTCTGCATAATGGCATCACTAACTGTGGAACCCATATTTCTGTCTCCCAGGCTAGTGGTTTTGGAAAATCCACTTTAACATAAATAAAAAAATAGAACACAACAGCATACACTATACATCATCACTAAAGTATTTTTTTCTGTTTTTTTTTTAATTTATAAAAATAATGATTGGTTATTATATCAGTAAAAATGTCAAAGAATACTTAAGACTTTAAATGAAAATAAATTTCCCCCCTCTGCACTTCTCAACTTCCACAATCCTACTCTTCACACATGATTACTGTTACTACATTTGGATATATGTATATTTGTATAAACACGCCAAACACATGTCTTTTAAAAAATAAAAACACAAACCCTGTTTGCTCACATTCTTCAACAACTTATTCTTTTACGAGTAACATTTTTCAAATCATGATTTCATCCATAAATCACCCTGAATACTTTTAGGGGTTTAGATCATTTTCCATTGTAACAAGTCAGAATCAAATTTAAACACTCAGTGACAGGTGTGTATTTAGGTCATTGCCAATGTGATACAACATTAAATGAGACTCTTTCTATATCAGTTTTAGCTGAGGCTTTCAAGTCTGCAAATAAACTAAAAGGTGCCAGTTACCCTACATCCTAAAGGTAGATGCTAGACCACTTTAGGTAGGACTTGCAAAAGAGGTCTCTATACACTAGCTTGGGAGCCTGAAGTTGTCATCCATTGTAAGATATAAAATTACTGAAGTTTATAAATTTGAAAAAGAAAAGCTAAAACCTTACAATGATATTTTGAAAAATGCTAAAGACAAAGCAAGGGGTTCTTTTTAGTTTACTCAAAAAAAGATGGCCAAAAGGTGCGGGAAGTCATCCATTGTCAATACTATCATGAGAGTGCATCAAGGAACTCAGAAGGCTGATGGACTTTGACTTTGGCAGGGCCAAAGCTATGCACCGATTGTTCTGTGTTGAGATAGTGATGGCTCAAAGCAATTTCCTGACCTGATAGCCTCAAAGTAAATCTTTACTGATCTTTACTGACCTTTGAGACTGTCTGTCTGCTACCTGTTTGCCATGCTTTACTGAGGGCAAGATATGTATCTAAAATTGAATAAAGACACATCCTCCCAGGTTTCAGTGTGCCTTTCCTAGAGAGAGGTTACCACCTGGCCCCCACCCCTTAATAATTCATATTTCTTGTCTAGTGTTTTCATTTGTGCATCGGCCCCTTCTTCAGATCTTGAACCCTAGCCATGCTGGTTGCGGCAAAAAGGTACAAACTTCCAGTTAAAAAATAAGTCATGGGAATGTAATGTACAGCATGGTGACTATAGTTAATAATTCTGTATTGAATATCTGAAAGTTGCTAAGAGAGTAGAACTTTAAAAAAAAAAGAAGAAGGCCAAAGAGACATTGATCCAATATTTGGACAATGATGGTAACAAGCAATACAGTAAAGGTTAAGACACCCAGTTCCTACCTTGCTTTACTTTCATAATTATTATTAGATAAAAGTAGAAGTAAAACTGGTATGAGAGAACTGAAGCCAAAGATAAGTGAAGGAAAAAAGTGTAATTGTGCACTGAGTCCTCTAAAATAATTTATCTCTAAACCTGGAAAAGGTATGCTTGAGACGGAATGGTGAATTCTCAAGTTATGACCTCATGTGTGCAGAAGTCTTAGATCAAATCCCCTGGAAACAGAATGAAGTGGAGAACTGAGAAAATTTATTGGGGAGAGTTTTTGGTAGATAAACCTGGAAGGAAGTGAGGGTGGCAAGGGTGGGCAGAGCAGAAAGCTTTCCTGCAATGTGGTTGTCACTGAGATCTCAGTCAATCCTGGGAGCTCTGGAACCGGGATGGCGCTTCAGAATTGTCCCTACTTGAGAAGAGAGGGGTGGGCCATTCCATTCTTGTATCAGTCAGGTGTTGGACACAGGTTATCCTTCTGGGAGGGTGCTAACCTTAGGGGAAGCAGTTAAGGAGGGAATCTGAGTGAAATACCACAGTACCCACTACAATAAATAATGTAGGTTTTTCCTTTCTAGTACTCATTAATCTCTTTTAAGGCTCCAGTTCAGCATGACTTTCACCTCCTGTGCTACTCTCAGGCTCGTGAGAAATCATTCTGCCATTCTGAAAGATGCACTGAGGAAAGCAGGGATTTGTGAGGCTGTTTTCGGTTGCCCTGATACATCATTTAGAGACACGTCTACTCATTTTGCTACCTCTGGACGTGAGAAAACCCTGACACTGGCCTCTTTCCCAGGGCTTAAGGGTTGGTTTTCTCATGTCCAGAAGAAGCAGAATGTCCCCAATAACGTCTTTTCTTAGATTTTCAAACATACTGAGTGTTTCTCCTCTCTCTTTCTCCAGTCTGAAGAAATTTAGGGAGCTCACTAGACCATGGGTGGAGATAACAGAATGCAGGGGGTATGATAGGATCAGACAAAGCTGATCTGACTGCAGATAACAGTGTTTTCCCATCTAATTTTTATGACCTGAGTTCCCTCTGGGTCTAAGGTGTTTTTTTCTCCCCAAAGGCATATGCTTCAGAAGTTTAAAAGCCTTTTCTTTGCTTTTCTGCTGCAACAACCTTTTCCAGGAGCAATGAATGCATTGACTAAATGAGTGAAGGGCAAAGAGTAAAAGAAATTCAGAAAAGAAAATCTTAGGTAACATCTCAAAATATTATCTTGCCACATCTACATCCAAGGATCCTAGCAGGACCTGTGGATGAGATCAATGAAAGTTGTAATAGTCTTTGATGGTTCAGCGAGAAGGGTTGAAAAGCAGACGATCAAAGCCAGGAAAAAAATCTCCATTTTTTAAAAATCCTCACTGAGGATATTTTTTTCTATTGATTTTTTTTTTTTGAGAGAGAGGGTGGAAGAGAGAGAGAGAGAGAGAGAGAGAGAAATAGAGAGGTGAGAGAGACATATCCAGTGATTGCCTCTGGAATGTGTCCTGACCAGGGCTTGGGATTGAGCCTGTAACCGAGGTATGTGCCCTTGACTGGGAATAGAACCCGTGACACTTTGGTCCGAGGACCGACACTCTAACCACAGAGCAAACTGGCTAGGACCATTTATTTTTTTAAAGTAGGAAGAAAGAGGATGCTGCAGACCATAGACTGGTAATCTTAATGTTCCACATAAGGAAAATTCCAGACAAAACTCATCTCATTGCCTTTTTCTTTTTCTTAGTTTGTCTTGGTCAGACAGAAGTCTTGAAATATGGACTCCAGCAAATAATTTGTCAATCTCCAGAGATGTCACTATGAAGATGCAAAAATGGGACCCGAAAATAGAGGGGTTGGGAGATTTGTAGTATGATGAACCACTAGCCCCAGTGAGATCAGGAGCATGGCCCAAGTCAAGTGGTCAAGATGAGGGAGGCTATGGAAATTAGGACACAGGAGGAAAGTGGACAGAACTGAGGGCATGACGCCTGAAGAAGAGAAACCCCAGGAACCCTTGATAATCTGAAAGCGACAAGGTCAGTATCTGTGATGTATAGGCTAATTCTGTGGGACTCAAAGGAATAAAAACCAACTAGGGCAGATTTCTGATAATTAGAATTTGTCTCAAAAGCACACAAAAACAACAACAGCAAAAAAGTCCCACAAAAACCTGGTGAGGTAATAAGTTTACCAGTAGCATGACATCATGGAGAAGATTCATTCATTCACTAAATGTACAGACTGCCTACCATCCACTCACAGAGAAATAGTGAGACTAGAGGACTTCGAAGAGCTTTTGTAGTTCTGAGCAGCGATGATTCTACACTTTAAAAAATGTGAGTGCTAAGCCAAAACTAAGTGAATTGCCACTTTCTTGTAACACAAATGTCTTGTATGATTTACAGAAAAACGTGATTCAGAACCAGTTTTATCAAAGCCCATGGATACACTCTGAGTCGAATTTATGGCTCATGACTGGCAATATTAATGGAAGCACTAATAAAAGTTATGATATGTAGTAATAAAACATCGAAGCATGGACTCATAAATCATATTCCAACAGGGTAAGGCAGGCCATTTTTCCTTTGTGATTTAATACAGAGTAGATTTTACACTAACTTTAGCTTTCCACAAGAGACCTATAAACCTCAGCATAGGCTAAAAACTGAGGCTAAACTATGCTGTTTTAAAGATAAAAATGCCAATGAACATACAGATATGAAAAAAATCTGACATTCTAGACTTACCAGTACAAGGTGGAAATTGTTTAGTTACCACACTTGATAGCATAAGACCACAGGAGGTTGCTCATTGGGTCCTCCTAACTTAAGATTCAATAGGTTGACTTTCTCCTTTTCAGCTTTACCAGGATTCTAGACTAAAGTCTGATGAGGAAATAAAAACTTATCATACTTTTGGTGACAGCTGTTGCTTTTACAGCTCAACTACTTACTCCTGCTTTCTGGTGTCAGAGCAGCTGTGTTCCTCTCAGGAACTCCTCCCATACCCGATGGAACCGCCAATCATGACACCTCGGCTCCCTGCCACTGGGGTATGGTTCAGGCTGGCCAAAGTTCCCCGTCCACCTTGTGATGGTTCAGGTGCCAACCTGACTGGGCTAAAGGATGCCCAGAAACCTGGTAAAATGTTGTTTCTGGGTGTGTCTGTGAGGGTGTCTCTGAAACAGATTAGCATTTAAATTGGGAAGACTAAGTACAGAAGATCGCCATCACCAACGCAGGTGAGCACCAGCCAGTCCACTGAGGGCCCAAATAGATCAAAGAGGAGGAGGAAGGGCAAATTCTCTCTCTCTCTCTCTCTTTCTCCCCCCCTTCCCCCTGGTCTCTGCTTGAGCTATGACATCCATCTTCTCCTGCCCATGGACATCAGTGCTCCTGGTTCTTGGTATTTTGGACTCAGACAAGACTCACAGCATCAGCCCCCCCGCATTATCAAGCCTTTGGACTCAGACTGAGCTATACCACCAGCTTTCCTGGCTCTCCAGCTTGCAGACGCTTTTTTAAAAAAAAGATTCCCAGGTGATTCTAATGTGCAGCCAAGGTGGAGAACCACTGCACTAGAGACTCTTTGGGTCTGGATGTGCTGGACCCACCCTGGTCAAGGAAAGAGCCCTCTGAGAGTGAACTAATACGGATATCCACCCCGTGATTGCTCGCCGCTGTGGCTAACATTTAAGTAAGGGCTCAGATCAACTGTTCTCCTCCCACCTGGCTCACAGCTAATCAAGCAGCTGTCTTGTGGGTTTACCTTGTACATAAATCCTCTTTCTCTATCCTTACTACATTACTGTAGTTCAGCTTTTGTTTGGATTCCGGACAGATTTAATTACTCTCCATGCTCACTCTGCAGGAAGAATGTTTCTGAATTTTCATCTAATGGTATGATGCTTCTGTTTGTAACTCCCTTCAGCCTCAGTCCCTGCCACACCTCCCTGTGCCTGGAACACATTCCTCTTGCTTCCATCTCTCAGGGCTCTGCTTAAACATCCCTTTACTCAGTAAAGCCGACTTGACTCTCTCGTCTAGTCTACTCAGCTGCCTCTGCTATGAGCTCCCACAGTGCGCTTTATTTATCCTAGAAAAGCACTTATGACATCTTATTTCAATTGCTTAATTGCCTGTTTTCCTTTCCTGGATTATAAACTCTGTAAAGGGCTTGTGGGTATTGCATTCCCAGGGCTTGGAGCAGGGGTGGGGAACTTTTTTTCTACCAAGGGTCATTTGGATATTTGTAATGTCATTCGAGGGCCATACAAAATTATCAACTTAAAAATCACCTGCTATATTTGCTCAAACGTTTAATTAACTCACTCCTAATGCCTTGGCAGGGCCAGACCAAATGATTTGGAGGGCCTTATATGGCCTGCAGCTGGACATTCCCCACCCCTGGCCTAGAACAACACCTAAGCACATAGAAGGAAATATAGATTTATGTCATATATTCATGTGTGTATATGTATATCTGTGTACCAGTTCATATAACGTAATGTAAGTTTTTAAAAAGTTTTCAATAGCCTAAGTCAGGTACATGCTAATTTTCAGGGTTATTTTTGGAGTTAGGGTGATACTTGATAATAATGGGGATGATGAATGAAATTTAATTTGCATACTTACATTTTTGCTAACATATTGTTATTGCCCATTTTCGAGAGGCATGCTTATTTTGCAGAAGAGGAAATATTTATTTATTTATTTATTTTTTAAAATATATTTTATTGATTTTTTACAGAGAGGAAGGGAGAGAGAGAGTTAGAAACATCGATGAGAGAGAAACATCGACCAGCTGCCTCCTGCACATCTCCCACTGGAGACGTGCCCGCAACCCAGGTACATGCCCCTGACCGGAATCGAACCTGGGACCTTTCAGTCCGCAGGCCGACGCTCTATCCACTGAGCCAAACTGGTTTTGGCGAGGAAATATTTATAAGGAATGAAATGAAGTAACTTCTCTTCTGGCTGTAGTTTGGAAATCCATCTAAACAATAATTTCCATTATTTTAAAGATTCGGTTTTTAAAAAAAAATATTTTTATTGATTTTAGAGAGGAAGGGAGAAGGAGAGAGAAATAGAAACATCAATGATGAGAGAGAATCATTGATCAGCTGCCTCCTGCATACCCGACACTGGGGATCGAGCCAGCAACCTGAGCATGTGCCTTGACCAGAATCGAACCTAGGACCCTTCAGTCTGCAGGCCAATGCTCTATCTACTGAGCAAAGCCAGCTAGGGCTAATGATTCAGTTTTGTTATTGAAGTGCCACACATATTTTCGGGGAGGCCATTCATTTATTTGAGAAGTCAATTTAAAAAAACACACAAATAGGTCAACTAATTTACAAAGAGACCATGGTAAGTGCCTTAGGGAAGGTGTGTTAACATACAACAGTGTCCATTTACTTTCTTTTCAAGTTATAAAAGATTCAAAGATCAGCTTCTAAATAATGAAAAAAAAAAAGACTCACTAATCCATTTCTTCAAAGTTCCAAAAGAGGGAGGAAAAAAGAGAGAGAGAGACTGAAAAAGCTCCAAAGTTGCCATAGGAATCAAATCCCAGGCCCAGCCACATGAGTATTCAAATCATTTCAGGGCAAGGGATTAACTGATGCACTCGGCTGAGAACCTTGTCTGAAAGAATAGCATCTAAACCTGCACGCACAGCAGCCACCGAGAGCACCCGTGAGTTGCCATGGGCTCTGTTCTTGGCCCTTTCGCTCTGCAGTTCTCACAGTTTCAATTCAATATTCAGGTAATGTCTGTAATAGGTTTCTCAAAGCCTTATGTTCTTTAGGGAGATACTGGAGTGGAACATAAAACAGTCTGTTGAGCAAAAGCAATTGCAGCTGGTGGAGTTCATAGAAATCAGCAGAGCCCAGTATAATGAATTATAAGCATGCTTGTGTTTAAAGCAAGCACTGGCATAAAAGAGGCAACAGAACACAAAATGTGCTTCTATTTAGCTTATAAAATATTCACAGTATAAAAAAAACCATAGATAGTGATCAGAAGATTCAGGAAATTCAGGTACCAGGCCACTTTTTTTTTTTTTTTTTGTAATCCTCACCCAAGGATATTTTTTCCATTAATTTTTAGAGAGAGTGGAAGGGAGAAAGGAGCAGAGGTAGAGATAGAGATAGAGATAGAGATAGAGATAGAGATAGAGATAGAGATAGAGATAGAGATAGAGATAGATAGAGATAGAGAAACACACACACATTGATGTGAGAGACATGTCGATTGGCTAGGGATTGAACCTGCAACCCAGGTACGTGCCCTTGACCAGGAATCGAAACTGAGAGTCTTTGGTGCTTGGGCTGATATGCTAACCACTGAGAAACACTGGCCAGGACCAGGTCTCATTTTTAAAAATATATATATATTATTGATTTTTTTTTTTCAGAGAGGAAGAGAGAGGGATAGAGAGTTAGAAACATCGATGAGAGAAACATCAATCACCTGCCTCCTGCACTCCCCCTACTGGGGATGTGCCCGCAACCAAGGTACATGTCCTTGACCGGAATCCAACCTGGGACCCTTCAGTCCTCAGGCCAACGCTCTATCCACTGAGCCAAACCGGCCAGGGCCCAGGTCTCATTTTGATCCTTTTGCCTTTGGACATCAGGTGCAGAGGGTTAAGATAATCATATTCTTTCATTGATGGTATATTATCATTGCTCTTCTTTGCAGCAGGACTCTCTCTTTACCCTCTTCATCCCTGCTCCTCGATTTCCTTCCCCCCTTCCCCCATAGCTACCCAGAATAATATGCTTGGTATTTGTCCTTGGATATGTAAGCATCTTTGAGAAATATAATAGTTGCTGTGTGAGTTAATAGGACTATACAACACATGTCAATCTCTCTCTCTCTCTCTCTAAAACCAAACACCAGGTTTTTATGCTCTGTCTTAGTGCTGTATGTAGTTCTGGTTCATTATTTCTGACTGCAGCAGAATACTCCAGAGCATGCCTTCACTGCATTTTCTTTTTCCATTTTCACCATGATGAATTTATATTGTCTCTAAATCTCAACCATCATAAAAAAAATCATGCTGGACATCTTTGAACATGCACCTTCGTGACCTGTGTGTGAGCTGTTTTAGGGAAAGTGAGATGGGTTGATGGGTTATTTGATATATGCATACTTAATCTACCCAGGTTGTCTTTCAGAAAGGACCCTTAACTATCAGCAGTAAATGAGGGTGGCTTTTCCTCACAGCCTCAGCAATATTTGGTGCTGCATGACTTTCTAACCTTTAGCAATACGTACATCCTATGATTTTAATTTGTATTTCTCTAATTACTTGTGATTTTTAGATATTT